AAAATATTAAAAATTTATTTATTAAAAGAACAACAGACAAACACGACAAAGCATCATCAGCAAACACGAATCAACTTACCTAAATCTGCCAGCGCGCGTGTCATTTCCCTGATTTGTGCATCCTGTCGTTCTAGTCGGAAACCCATTTCGGCTAGTGTTAACGCTAGATCGGCCTTTTCCTGTCGTAGAGTTTCTTGCTTTTTCGCTTCATTGTTGGATTGACTGTAAAGTCAAAAAAATATCAACAGAAATTTAATCTGTAGTGAACTGCAGTACTTTCAACTTAAGACTAACCGCGTATATTCAAATATCAGCACACCAGCGCCTATCACAAATATAATGGCTTCACCCAACAAGTTTGCACCTAATTCAATGGCCATGGCCTCGTTCAGAGGAGGGACTGCGACTGGCTTGCCTAGATTCATGGCCCACATTTTTGTCTTTACCTCAACCCAGTTGTATACTGTAGAAATAATGAATATATTAATAAAAAGTTAATTATAAATAACATGAAATCATGTACATATTAAGAAATGTTAATTATATCATGCAGTCAACAACGCGATCGCGCTCTTCCAGTGGCAGGACGAGGTACACAGGTATTACGTTATAATACACATAAATACTAAAATAGTTTATATTGTACAAACAAGAAATTTCTACATTTGGCGCTATTACTAAAGGTTTGTGACGCTCAATGGCAATTGGTAGATATCACGCTTTTGACGCTCGATGGCAATTGGTACATATGAGGAGTAGCTAACTCCTCCCATCTCTAGATATGGAGTACACTTAATTCCAGGTATACTTACACTGCGCCGGTNGACGCTTTTGACGCTCGATGGCAATTGGTACATATGAGGAGTAGCTAACTCCTTCCATCTCTAGATATGGAGTACACTTAATTCCAGGTATACTTACACTGCGCCGGTGGCATACAAACGTACTTCCGAAATACAGGGCTCTGCTTGGCATTACTTTTAATGACGTTAGCTATGGGTTTGCTAATCTGCTTTACAGCCAAAACACCTAATTTGGCGGCCGGAAAAGCGCCTATCGCCATTTTGTCCAAAGGATTTCTGGAACAGTGAAGGTGTTATGTGAAAAGACAGCAAGGAGTAGATTGGAAAAAGAAGGTTGATTTACGTAAACAGCTGACTCCGGCGCTAATTTTTTTCAGTGACATGTTTAACCCATTATTGAATCATGGCTCGTGCTGACCTGTCGAGTTTTGTTTATCTGATGTGTATCTGATTAATATACACACAAAAATGAAGTCGGTTCATTAAATATAATACTAAAGTTTTAAAACAGGAGAAGACAATACTACAAAATAATAATTACTTAAGTAATCTAATAGACGTTGGCATAAAGAAAATTGATACTAAAATTTAAATAAAAATGTTAAAGCGTACCGTTAATACGGTACTATCGTAGGAACAAATTAACTGTGAAATAAAACAGGAACTTGAATAACTGTTCCAAGAAACGAAACAAGAAGTTGTTCAATTTAAATCTGAAAATGTAACTTGACGAATATTTATAAAATGATCAAATTGGAGGAATAACCTGGCGATGAGGCCATTAAAACACAATAATTTACAATTGGAAGAATAACCTAGCAAAATAAGGACTTAGTTCCCAACCATTTAAATTTTCATCTGGATAATATATTCTGACATATAAGCAACAATTAGAGATAACTTGGTGGACTATTAAATCACAATAGACTTTTTAATTTGATATGATTGGCAAAGAATTGAAAGGAATAAGACGTACGATACATATATGTATAAGCATAAACTTTTGCACGTGATTCTCGCCCGCAGCGGTATTACCATCGCGTATCAGTGGAGCGACGATTGGATATATTAATGGAATATAACATACTATATTAAAAGCAGAGCAATAACCTGGCGGTGATGAAAACTAGCCAGCCTACCCAAAAACCCCAAAAAAAAAACATGTTTAACCCGAGAATGGCAAGAAAGAGTAAGCCAATATTTTGCACATGACAATTTTTTTTTTTGGAATTTGCATTACATATTTACATACATAGCTTTAAAACTAGAAAGCTTATGTTGACAAAGATATTTTTTTATAACTAAACTAAATACCTTATATAAGTTCATAATGACCAACATAAATTCTGAACAAAGACCTGAAGAAATGGGTGCTTTAAAACATGACCCTAAAACATTAAATATTACATCAAGAGAACGTGTAGATTATATGAAATATAGAAAATTTTCAAATTTGGGTCATTTTTCTCTTTAAACAAATGTATAAATTGTACTTCTAATGACAGAACCCATTATCATGAGCACAAATATTACTTTGAAGGCTATTCATTTAATTCTTCTGCTCTAAAAACAATTTTATTTCAAGTAGATGTGGATCAATTATACATTTTTACAGTTTAGGAGTTCAAACAACCGGACGAATCAAATTTTTTGTGTACAATGAGTAAAGAAATCATAAAACCAAATTGCCATTAAGCGAAGCGCACATTGGCGCGATTCTGTCGTTGCGAATCCGCAAGCCCAAAAATTACAACAATGCTACCCATACATTTTAATGCGCTAGCGCACACTTGCACGATTCCGTCGCTGCGAATTTTTCGAACATTCAATGTTCCTCTCTATTGACGCGTTCGAAACGCGGCTTGCAGCGTTTTGAAGGCGTCAAAGAAGAAGAAGAAAGGTGTCACAGTAATAAAGGCAAAGAAAAAAAAACGTGTAATGTACAAAAACTAATAAAAACGTTCGTAATAATAGTATTTTGTACGATTTGGGCACGCCGAGTGCGAAAATACACGAAATAAAGGGAAAATTGAGTGAATTGTACATCGGAAATCGACGCGAAAAAATCGCTCAAGTGTGCGCACGTTTGCGGATTCGAAGTTAACAGCCGAATTCGCAACGTATTCGCAACGATGGAATCGCGCTAATGTGCGCTTCGCTTTAAGCTGCCACTTTTTCTCACTCGCAATTTCGAAGCAGTTCCTTTTTACTTTATGCCGCTATATACCTTTAAAACAATTTTAGGGTGTTCTTACACGATATGTATTTGCATGCGTACATGCAACGTTTCACATATGGAAATGCCAGAATATCGTGTAAAGATAAATTAGATTGGTTTCTATAGAAAGCAGATGCACGTACATACGAAATACGAATACGAAGTTTCTAATTTTATCTGACACACAGATAGAATCAGCTGAGATTAGTTGATTTCGTTTTCAAAGAACGCACATAGTTAAATAAAGACTGTGAATTTGACAGACATACGCAATTACATATGCATGTATTGAAATGCCACTGACTGACTTTACTGATGCAAATACATATCGTGTAAGAACACCTTTAGTTCATCTTATCAATAGGTTGAATTTTTAATTGAACCTATTCCCAATTCGTATTAAAGTAACTCAACAAGCAGATGCAGATCAAGTATAAATTTTTACAGTGTAGGAGCTGTCAAGTCCAAACGACCGTACGAACCAAATTTTTTTGTTTACGAATAAATAAAAAACATAAACCGATTTTGACACTAGGCTGGTGCTCACTCGCAACCAGCGTTGCCAATTTTGATACTTTCCTACCAAAACTGGTACTTTGAACTTGATTTGGTACGATCAAAGAACGTAAATCTATAAATTTACCTGTCAATGTTATTGTGGCCTATTAACATTTTATTTTTAATATTTTTATTGGCTTTGGACCACGATTGTTTATTAGGAAAAATTTGAAAAATCAACAAAGTCTTAGCGGTAGAAGTTATAGCAGCTGGTTCGCATCAGACTTCTTTTTTCCCTGCTGAAGTCTAGAAAAAAGAAGTCTGATGAGGAGATGTGGTGATCTCCGAAATAGCTGCTATAACTTCTACCGTTTAGACTTTGTTGCTTTTTTCTTGTACCAAAGAACGTAAATGTATCTTTACATCGTATGTATCGCACATTTACGTTCTTTGGAACAACGAACAGTGGCAACCGTGCACTTATTTTTCTTTTTCATTTTTTCCGTACTGTCCATACTGAGAATTGCAACACTGTTCTTTCCTCCTTTCTTTCGACAGAAACGTCAACAATTTTCTCACTGTTCGTATGGTTTTGCATTGTTGAATTTTTCGCGACCAATATTTTTCAAGAAAAAGGTGTTATAAGTTCATAAAAATTACACTAAATCATTAACTAAGTGTTAAAGTGTCACAATTAATAAAGAAATATCGTAAGAATATTAAATATAGTGTATAAAAATGTATTTGAAAAAATGTAATACGAAGAAAGTCTCATGGTGGTGAAGAAAAAATGTGAAAAGATTTTCACCTGCAGTATTAGTGGCAGTGAGAAAAGAAAAACCAGCAATATCGAGAAAACCTCAAGCGCTATCTAGTGTTGTGTGTGGCATAGGAAGTGAATAAGCAAGCACCTGTCGGATGTGAACGCCTCAAAAGAAGCTATATATGTATTTCTGCATGCTATTCTCCATCGCTCCAGTTGATGGGCTGCTCCGCTGGCCAATTGAGCAACATCTACCTATGTACATATGCATTTAGCAAGTGCGAAAAAACATCATTTCGATGATGAGGCAATAAAAGAATGTTGTGAGTAAAGGCAAATTAGAAGGAGCTACAAGATGTTTACGAAAAAATCTCATGCGGATATAAAAAAGTCCACTGGCAAGTTTCAAGATTGTAAAAAGGATTCAGCATCCCGGTTGCGTCACTTGCGTACCATTTTAGGTAGGTGCAAAGTAAATTTTTATTCTAACTATATAAATCCATTATTTTACTCCGAAATTAGTAGACAGCCAACCAAACAATGACATTTAAAGTAGCCCCTTCATGTGTGGGCGAAAAACATGCTCCTTTTATAACAAACATAGTAAAATTCATGAAACCAACTTTTTCAACCTACATGACTGACTTCTACATATGTACATAGTTACCAGGGGTATAGACGAAATGGCAATAGCAATGACAACATAACCGCAACGTCAATTCTCATTGGAATACTCGTGTTTATCCGCAAAACACCTCTGGTTAGCTATTTAAAACCTTCGTACATTTAGCATACAGCTTTAGTACTTGCTTCCTGATTCGTTTGTTGGCCATCAATCGTCATTGCATAGACAAGTACACCCATGTACTCATAACGCAATGATAATTTATGCATACATAGTATGTACATACATACATACATATGTATTATGTACAATCGAAATATTATACTTGTCTATTTAAGCGCAAATTAGCATGGACGCGTAGAAAAGATTTAAAGCGATCTGCAAATAGCTAGTTACTTCCATGTACACGCTTAAAAAATGATCTTTCTACTCATTGTATAGTACCTCATAGTACCTACGTCAGGTGGATATTTGAGCGAACGCGCATACATAGAAACCAACGAGCGGTTTGTGGCGCACCGTGAATGAGTTAATATGTATATTTGCCAACATAGCTAAGCACCCAATGTTCATTCTATGGATGATTCCACATGCATACATACATACATACATATCTAGTATGTATTTAAATGTGAGTGTCACTGGAATCATCGCCCTTGGTTAGTTACTCATTGTAGGCCAACAAATGTCCAACGCATCAGAGCAGTAATGTGCGCTTTATTAAACTCAGTTGTGTTATTTGATGTTTGCTTTTGGCCACTTCATGCGGCAGCTGTTCGCATTATCGGCGTGAACGTTAAACGTGGCCGGCCCCGTGTCTTGTGGGTTCTTTTCACGCTTTTGATATCTTTCCTATTCACATTTATTTTGTAAGAATTAGTTTTGCTGCGATTCAGTTGTAGCGACCGCTTTCTAGATGCGTGTGTATATGCTTTGCGAAGTTATACGAATTCAATTTAAGTAAACTGTATGTGAGGTTTATGGCTATCTAGTAGTCAATTTGTTCTGATTCTTGTTTGCGCCACGAGCATGAAAAGTAGGCACATATATATATATATATATATGTAGACAGGAGCATTACATACATACATATGCACATATGTACATGTGTCTACGGGTTGTGCATAATAATATCTAAAGAAAGCTAAACAGCTTTAAGCCAAATCGTTCATTAAATAACGCAGCCCTACACACAGACAACTTCAGTTGCATAGTTTTTTTAAATGTTCTCCCATATAGAAATTGTATTTAAACAAATTTTCTTTACCAATAAAATGGTGAAGATCTAC